TATTTGTAAGCCACATTGAGTTAGGTTTCCTATTACCTGCAGCCAAAAGTACTCATACTTCTAAACAGCCCGCAGGTAGATCTGGCTACAGGCACAGCTTTATCCTAGGCAAATGCTGTGTCAGGGTTGAGCTTCACTCTACTACCTCAGTACAGGCTCCAGGTTCAGGCAGACAAATCCTCCTCACCTTGAGGCTACAGGTGTCTTCACTTGGGGCTGGCCGGAAAGAGCCCGGAAAGGGTCCAACCAGAAGACCCACAGGGGAAACTTGCCCACTCCTGAAATAAACACACTAGCCATGAAATGGAAGATGCCGAGGCTTAAGACAGGCTCTCAAACAGGGCTGCATATTAGAACAAACAGGAACGTATTAAAATATGTATAGCTAAATGAGAGAAGCAAATCTGAAAACCTGCCACTGTATGACACTAGGAAAGGCAAACCCATCCAGAGAATAAAAAGATCAGTGGTTGCCAAGGGGTTAGGGAGATGGAGCAATGAACACAGAGGATTAGAATTTGTATGATACGCTGTATGATACTGTAATGGTGGAAATGTGTCCTAATACATTTATCCATCCCATAAAATGGACAACACCAAGAGTGAACCCTAGCCGGGCTCGGTGGCTCAGCCTGTAATCCCGTGCCTTTGGGAGGCTGAGGTGAGTAGATTGCCTGAGTCCGCGGGTTTGAGACCCGCCTGGGCAGCAAGACCTCATCTCTACAATAAATCAAAAAATCAGCCGGGCGTGGTAGCGCGCGCCTGTAGTTCCAGCTATTCGGAAGGCTGAGGCGGAAGGATCGCCAGAGCCCAGCAGGTCGAGGCTGCGGTGGCCGGGAGCAGCCACTGCACTCCAGTCTGGGTGACAGAGTGAGACTCCAACTCAAAAAAAAAAAAAAAACACACATACTAGGGCCAGGCATGGTGGCTCACGCCTGTAATCCCAGCACTTTGGGAGACTGAGGCAGGATGATCACTTGAGACCAAGAGTCCAAGATTGGCTTGAGCAAGCAACATAGCAAGACTTCCCCTCTACAAAAACAATAATAATGATCAAAAACTAACCTATGCCCAGGCCCTATGCATAACAATTAAATCAGAGATGGAGCCCAGGGTGCTGTAACTCATCAGGTGATTCTGTTGGGGGACCAGGATTGAGAACTACCCGTAAAGCAGGCTGGAGTCAAACCCTGGATCTGGGAGTCAGGCAACTTTTTGCAAACCTAGTGGCTGAGACTGGAAGAGAGGGGAGTTTCTCAAGAGATGCCCGGAGGCCAGGGATGGTGGCTCAAGCCTGTAATCCCAGTACTTTGGGAGGCCAAGGTAAGGGGATTGCCTGAGTCCATGGGCTCGTGACCAGCCTGGGCAACTTGGCAAGACTTCATCTCTATAATAAATAAAAAAAATTAGCCAGGCTGGTAGCGTGTGCCTGTAGTTCCAGCTACTTGGAAGGTTGAGGCAGAAGGATTGCCTGAGCCTGGCAGGTCGAGGCTGGGGTGGCTGTGAGTGTGCCACTGCACTCCAGCCTTGGGCAACGGAGTGAGACTCCAACTCAAAAAAAAAAAAAGGGAGAGATGCCGGAGTACTCTTACCATGAGCCACAAACAAGCATGTACCTGGGAGAGATGAACCTAACTGTTAAGGATAACATACCCAGCTGGGTTCCTGTCCCAATAGCTAACAACTGCATAATTAAACAAGACTGCGGGGCCCTTACACAATGTTGTCCATTGGCTTCTCATTTGACTGTGACCTCCCAGGGTTCTTACAAGGGCCAAATGAGATGTTTACTCAGGAAAGAATTTTGTAAGCTGTGAGCCTCTATGCAAGAAAAAAGCATGACTTCAAAACCTGGGATGTGAAAAGATGTGCTTTTAAAAAAGTCACGGAAGTATCTGCCACATGAAAGGAATTCCTCACTTTCTGAAAGTGTTTACCCACGAGTCCTTTAAATGACATGCTCCCTATGGCTTGAAAATGGTTCCGTCAACAAATGGTGCTGGGAAAACTGAATATCTCGCTTGCAAGAGAATGAAGTTAGACCCTTACCTATGTCACTGTCAGAGATAAACAAAGCCTAACATTAGTTAAAGCAGTTAAAATACATATTATTCAGAAACAACTCCTGTGGCACTAGACACTTGGGAGGCTGAGGGGGGAGGATATTTGAGCCCAGAAGTTCAAGACCAGCCTGGGCAACACACTGAAACCCCATCTCACGTCTCTAAAAAAGAAAGACACTCCTGACAGCAGGGGAAAGAGCCGAGCTCCATTTTAACTTGCACAGAGGTGACTGGGTGTTTTAAAGGGAGAATGAGGGAGTAGGGAGAGGAAGCGAGTGGGTACTTGAGTGAAAAATTGCAAAATATTGGTAGTATAGGCCGAGCGGTGGCTCAGCCTGTAATCCCAGCGCTTTGGGAGGCCGAGGTGAGTGGATTGCCTGAGTCCGCGGGTTCGAGACCTGCCCGGGCAACTTGGTGAGACCTCATCTCTACCATAAATTAAAAATTAGCTGGGCATGGTAGCGCCCACCTGTAGTTCCAGCTCCTTGGAAGGCTGAGGCGGAAGGATCGCTGGAGCCCAGCAGGTCGAGGCTGCAGTGGCCGGGAGCGACCACTGCACACCAGTCTGGGCAACAGAGTGAGACTCCAACTCAAAGAAAAAAAAAACTGTAATAGACAGCTAAAATATGAAGGATATTACCTGATTACCCCTTAAATGCCTATGAAAGCTCTAACAACTCTTTAACATGAATTGCTTTATAATACAACTATATAACTATAAACTGCCTTTAGCCCATATCGTTCAAAACTGTTGATCTAGACATTTGATATTTTGAAGCACAGCTTTTCTTCTCTTTTTTTGTTTGTACAAACGAATGGGGTGCATGTGCTGTTTTGTAACATGCATAGCATGGGTAGTGGTGAAGTCAGGGCTTTTAGGGTATCCATCATCTGAATAACATACATTGTACCCATTAACGAATTTTTCTCTCCCTTCCGAGTCTCCATTGTCTACTGTTCCATATGAACAAATTTGGCACCAATACTTGAACACATTACTTAGCACCCATTTATAAGTGCGAATATGTGCCATTTGACTTTCTGTGAAACACAGCTTTAATGTAACAATTAAAAATATTTTAATGAAGTCACACACAGCCTTTGTTAAACAGTATGAAAAGCGTGAGTATTTTGTTTAACTAGTGCATGACTTTGCACATACTTCTTCAGGGATTCCTGCCAAATTTGTTTCTCCTTTCTGTCTGCAGCTTTCATTACCAGCAGCTCTTGCCAAAATTAACTGCCTCTGTGTGTTTTGTGTGTATGTGTGTGTGTGAGTGTGTGTGTGTTTGTGTGGGTGCATGCACACGCAAGCAAATCACACAGATGCTGAAAGCATAAACTGCTGTATAGGGGTCAAACAGAATACAAGGGCCAGTGTTCCCAGAAACATAGTGGTCAGGTTTCCTTAAAAAATGTGCAGTTATTGTATTTCTGGAGTTGAGGGCTCAAGTTAAAAGCAAACAAAAATACCACAAAATACATAACAATTTGTTTTTTGGAGGATTTGTGATTCTGAATTTGGATTCAGTTCTCTTAAATACATATTGAACCTCTCATGGAACATGACTCTTAAATAGAAAGATATTAATGTAAAAGCTTCATTTGTTGCTATGCAAAGAATTTGGGGTGGTAAACCCTTGATCTGTTACTTTTGAATTAACCCTGTAGGTGCAATTTGGTGTAGAGATCTAGGCTAGAAAGACAATTTCGTGAAAGTATCCTGATCTCTCCAACTGGTTGAAGAAAATCTGTGGCAATAAAGACTAGTTTATGCTGATAGATCTTTTGAACAATGCCTTTCTCTGTACCATGGACATAATTATTGTTTAGTCTGGGGAAAGATGAATCCTCTCATGATGCAGGGATATCTGGAGTGACCCCTAGCCTGGCCCCAGGCAAAGTCTGTCTGCTCTGCTCTGCTCTGCTGTGTGCCCTTTTCCTAAGCACTGTTGAAATACTGTTACTTTTCTGAAAGAATTTGGGTTCTAGCTCAAAAATTAATAATTAGAGAGGAAGCGTGTATGATTTGTGTGTGTGCAGTTGTTCATGCGTTCAGGTTACATAGTTGATTTTACTAGGAGAGGCTTCTCCCAAAGGTGAGTCTGTGACTCAGCTTTGATGGCCGGGTAGCCTCATCTGTCTTCTGGAAGAATAGGACCTGACAGGAACAGGAGAGGGAAGAGAACACTTCGGTGACCAAGAGTCTCCAAAGAAGTTAGCTAGGGCGAATGTGTCCAGGGCGGGGGCGGGTTGTGCACATTTGAATGTGTATATGCCAGTTGGCTTCTATCTACTTGCCTTTTTAAAGGAAGTAAAACCTTTTCCCCCCTGAGGATTGCAGAAATCGGTGCTGAGGACTCGGGAACTGTTTACGTGAGGCTCTTATTTAATGACTTGTTGCTTTCCTTCTGTTTTCTGTCCTTTTGTTTCCTCCTAAGAAAATCTCAGTTCTAATTTATTCTTCAGGCCTTCATTTTTCCCCCCTTTAACCAAACGGTTTCTCAGTTACTGTTTTGTGCTGGGCGTTGGGAACACCGACACACGCAAGGCACAGCCCCGGCTGTCGCCACGGGCACAGCTTGTCAGCAGACGCGGACCTCTGTGGCCCCACCCTGGCCGAGGAGCGTGAGGCCATCTACGGACATGTGTGCGCAAGGGGGGCTATCCCTTACAGACCACAGGGAGGGCCAGGCAGGCCTCCTGGAGATGAGAGTCCTAGGCGAATCTTGAAGGGTGAGCTCTGCTTAGCCAAGAGAAAACGCTCACCTCCTTCAGAAGACGTAGTACAAACACTCAAGAGGCCGGTAGGAATCATTGGAATGTACAGCCAAAGGAGGTTGTAGATCCTTCCCCCAGTAAAAACAAACAAACAAAAAACCAACCTCTTTTTATGGATTAAAAAGCTCTTGCTGGAGACCATAGGTTTTGCAGGTTATGTCACAGGAAACAGTCGTCCAGTGTCAGATGAAGAATGTGTCAAATGCAGGTTCGTTTGTGTGATTGAAAGACATTTAACACTGTGATTGTGGGAAAAGAGTTCAGGTTGATGTAACGCCTTTTAGGGGGGACGTTCTAGACTGGACACTTAACATTTGTTTTGTCATTTAGTTTTCCCAATGACCCCTGACACGTGAGCTTATGCCTGTAATCCACGAGGAAGGGAAGGCTCAGGGACTCAGTTGCTCAGCTTCACGTTTGAGCAAGCAGTGAGGCTAGGGGTTAAACCCAGGTTGCTGGCACAAAAACTCAGGAGTTTTCCACTGTGTTAGCACTCCTTCCCTAGAGAAAAACTGTCTTGTGTTCAAATCAAATAAAAAGTTGCTTTGTCAATTGAAGATTTAATAACCACACTGGGACAGGAGAGGGGTTAATGTCCCACAGTGAAAAAAGCAATAGTGAAATTGGCATGAAAGTGAGAGAAGTGAAGGGATTTGGTACATTTAGAAGTGGAGACCACGGGAGTGAATGCCACATGTGGTCATGCTCCTGCGCCTTGGAATTAACTGGGAGAAGACGTTGCAGCAAGCTCTTTGGGTTTCTTCTTTCATTTTCTTGTTTAGTCTCACATGTGGACATCACTCTGTTTTTTCACAAGACAGCTGAACGGCAAAATGGCTGGAAACACTATCCTGGCTGCCTGTCAGTTCTTGGATCTGATCCTGACACCAGTACAAGCCGAGTGAATTTGGATATGTCTTGTCGAGATCACATTGCAAAATGACGACGCAGATATCTAGGCCTTTGGCATTTCTTTCTTGCCCAAAAGGATCGTTGGGTCTAACTCAAATTGTAGCTTAGTTCTAAAAAGAAGGGAAGACATTTTGAAAGATTTGTCTGCTAACTTTCAGTTACAAGGATGTAATTTTCACAAGCCCTGGGACCGTGTCTGTCCTATATGTGGCGTATTCCCAGTGCCCAGAGCCATGCCTGGACAGCGCAGGGGCTCGATCAGGGCTGGGGAAACCAGTGGGTGACCGTGTGCAGGGAAGGCTCTCGCGTGTATCATCGGGACCTTCAGGCTGAAGCGTCCTACGTCTGCGTATTTACTCCAGGATCGTCTTCGGAGCTCTTGACATAGGTTACTTAGGGCACTCACGTTAATAGCAATGTGAGCGGTCATAGTGGCGACCATGGCTTGGGTGCCCATGTGCCAAATGTTGGCTTAGGCGTCTCACATGTTGACTTAGGGATCTCACTTTCTCTTAATTCAACTGTCGACAGAAAGGTGACAAACTCTGTACAACATTTTAAGATGGTTTATTGTGGACATATATGAGTGACCAGGCCCATGACACTATCCCTGGGAAGTCCTGAGAACCCAGGCCTTGTACGACTATTCCCGTCCAGGCTCTGTCTGGACAGCTATAGCAGTGGCCTCGGAATGACTCCCTACACTTGCCTTTGCTCTTGTAAAATCTTTCTTCCCACAGCATTGAGTGCTGTCTAAATAGCCTGTGGCAGTCCTGTGCTTGTTCTGCTTTTGGCCCCGTCTTAGGGCATTTCATCTTTAGAAGGTGGCACTGCTGGCATCTGTGCCTTCAGATGGTGAAACTGAGGCAAAGAGCAGGTAGCTGATTCACCGAGGTCAAGGCCGTGATTAAGCCCAGGCAGCAGGCCCAAGCCTGTGCTCTTGAGTCCTGTCCCTCCTCCTCTTAGCTCCCGAGGTCTCTGCCTCCTCCTTGGGCCTGAAGACACCATGTGAACCTCCCCACCTCGTCTCCACCACTCTCCCTTTGCATTCCTGCCACAGGGCATTCCAGGTTCTCCTCAGGCACTTCACGTTCACCACAGGCCCTTGGCATCAGCTGTCCCCACTGCCCAGAACCAGACTTAAACACTGTTCCAGTAAGGTTCTTCAAGTTTCTTGCTCCAAAGTAGCCACCCACCTTCCCGCCTTTTCATTAAAACACCGTCTCTTATTCTTTGTAGCACTTACTGCTGTCTTACGTTACCATTGTTGTATTTATTTATTTTTTGGCAACACATTGTTGATGACGAGATCTCAATTATGTGGAATGAGATGAAACTCCATGTGAGCAGGGATCTAGAATGCCTCGTCCATTCTCTGTGTCGGTGTCGCAGTCCCAGCGGGGCTGCATTGCCAGCCCGGGACCCATGTAGAGCCCAAGGGCACAGTGGCGCTGGAGGATGTAATGGCCTCCGGAAAGGGAAACGCGGAGATGCCAGTGAACTCGCAGAGGCCAACAGCCTCAGAATCCCAAGCAGGGTTAGAACTCTCTCGTCTGGGTGGATCCCAGATGAGGCCTAAGTTCTTGTCTCTCGACCGAAAGGGCAACCTAGTCGAAGTTGATGGAGGAAGCAAGTGTGTTAGCAGCTCTTACAAAGAAGCCAGGGGTCCCCACGAGGGTTGCCGCGGCCAAAAAGGCCAGAAAAAGAGAGCCCGCTGAGGCCTGCCCGGGGCTTTACCTCGCACTCAGGGCATGCCAGTTGGGTGGTAGGGCAGTTGCACCAGCAGACTCGAAAAACACACCCATCGGGGAATTGTGTGAAAGCGGGGAGGTCCACAGGCCACGGACCCGGAAGTAGGTGTTCCCAATTCAGTCCGTGGGGCTTGCAGTGGAAGTTTCTTTACCGGAGGCCCGCCCTAATCTGTCTGCCGACTGACTTCTTGTTCACTCCTCTCTCTTCAGTTCCAGGATTGGATAGACCTTTGGTGCATGAGTGAGTGTGCGAATGGAACAAATGAAGGCCTGGCATCCTGGACCTCAGAGCCACGTGCTTTTGACCCCATGAATTACTTTGCCACACCCTCCGCCTCTGCCTGTTCATCTCGTGGCTCAACCCTGCTTAAGTATCTCCGCCTCCGGGCATACTTAAAGATGCTGTGCTTTTGCAGGTGATGAGAGAAGCCTACAGTGGCTGCAGCGGAACCCTGGATTCAGAATGTCCCCCTCCGCCAAGCTCCCCGGTCCACAAGGCAGAGCTGGAGAAGGTAAGGGTGCCGCTCTGGCTGAAAACAGCCACCCTGGGTTTGATCGAGGTCTCGCTCAAAGTTGGAACAACATTCTCCGGGAATTTCGACATTCACATTTAAAAATGAAAGAGAAAATGCAATCCCGTTTCCCACCCATTTTAACTGTTCGCTTTGTACAAAGCTTGAGTTAGTCATCTCACAGACTGCATGTTTAGTTTTATTATTCCCAGAAATTGATAGAAAGGTATGCAAGGCCTTGCTCAAAGTCACATAGCAGCGGTGAAGTCTGAAGGCAAGTCTGTCTACTTCTGGAATACAGCAGGCGCTTCATAAACGTACCTATCCAAAGATTTATTCCCAATAGACGAGAATATGTGCTCCTGGCCCCCTTTGCTTTGTACTTGTTTTTGGAAGGCAGAAAAAGAGCACACAGCAGGGGGAAGGGGAGCCTGTTGGTTTGACAGCCTTCTTGGCAGAAGTGCATAGGACCGTCGTGTGACACCACTGCCCAGCCGTGATTGCACTTGGTCTATATGTAACCGATGCCGCCTCCCTGGAGGCCCCTGGCTTCCTGCCATGAAACCTTCTGTTGGGAGCTTGTGTCCCAGGAACTTTCTGAGCCGTCCCCCTCGAGCCCCCTGCCACTGAACAAATAAATGACTTTTTGTCTGCTCTTGTACTAGTCAGGGTTCTCCGGCGGATCAGAGTTAATGGGAGGTGTGTCTGTGTAGAAATAGATTTCCTGCAAGGAACTGGCTCACCTGTATGGAGGTTGCGAGTCCAGGTCTGCAGCGTGGGCAGAGGCCCAGGAGAGCTGGTCTACAGATGAGGTCTGAAGGCTGGAGGATTCCCTCTTGCCTGGGAGGTCAGTGTTTTGGCTCTATCTGGGCCTTAACTGATGGGATGCGGCCCACCTACCACACAGAGGGCAACCTGCTTTACTCAGAGTTCACCATTTAAATGTAATCTCATCCCGAAACACCTTCCAAGTTGACACATAAAAGTAACCATCACAGTGCTCTTCCTGATACTATGATTTCTTTTATGACTGTAAAATCAATACCTGCTAACTATAGAGAAATCAGAATGTTCAGGAAAACACGCAAAAAAGGAAGAAAGTCACTTGTAAGCCCGCCCCTAGAGGGGGCAGCTTCTCTCAACATGCTCCATGTTTTTAAATGCTTTTTTTTCCTGATCACGTGTTTCTTTTACTGTTTGGATACGTTTATGCATAGCATTTCTTAAACTGCTTTTTAAAAACGTAACTTTATATTATTAACAATTTTCTGAGTTTAAAAATCTCTTACCAGCCAACATGCATTTTTAAAATTTTCAACAGCTTGATATCAAGCTTGTGTCACCCGGCCGTTACTGACATAACTACTCCCACCCCCATTCGGCTGTTTCTTCTTTGCTAAGTTATCCAAAATAAAATAGTACTTGGTAGCTCATGTGTAAATCTTCGCTGCTTCTCTGCCTGTTACCTGAGAATAGCTTTCTGGAAGCTGAGTTACTGGACCACAGGATAGAACTTTTTTCTTATTTAAGATTTTGGTTCTTGTTGCTAACCCAGCTGCTTTCTTGGAAGGTTGGTCCACTCCCTTCCCATCACAGGGTGTTCAAGCTCCTCTCTCACACTCACCTCAGAGCTGGTGATTCTCCTTGGCTCATGGCTGGTTTCTGAGGCAGTGCTGTGAGTGCTGGCCAGACCTGTTGCCTCAGATTCACGGGGCTTCCTGGTGTGAGAGCCAGGGCCGCCTGGCTCCAGGTCACTGACTCCCTGGAACTTGGCTTCCCACTAAAAAGCTGCTAATTCTTCCCTACAGCTTTTGCAGGGTTGCAGACACCTGTCTTGGCCACCATTGCCTGGTCCTCATATTCCTAGTTGAACATGCATGTTCCTCTGTGCCCTGGAGTCGTCCACATTTGTTATCTGTGTCCAGCTGGCCAGTCTTTGAGGCCCTGGGTGTAAGGCAGAGAGTCTGAGGAGGAGCGTCTTGGAGGCTATGCCTGCCCTCCGCGGTGACTCCTCGGGTTCTTGGGTAGGAATAGAAGGGGTCCAGCTGTCAACACCATCTCTCATTCAGACATTAACGTGGAATTCTCACTGTGCTCATTAAATCCAGGTATAAGGTCTGAAGTCATGGCAAGTAGCCCAACCACCTTAGAGGCTTCATAGTGACCGTGCCTCTCTATACTTCTGGTGTGTTGGGCACAAGCAAATACTTGATACCCAATTATTGGTGGATGACAGGAAGAAAGTAAATGGGTGATGGAATATTGATTTCTGCAAGGATAATATGGCTTGAGGAGGGAAACATTTTTTGTAGTCATAACAGTTCTCAAAATTATTTGCAAGAAAAAGTGATTTGATTGAAACAAGCATGGTACAATACGTGTGTATCCTATCTTTTCAGTGGGTTTTTTTCTTTGCTTTTTGGATGTTTTTAAAGTCTTTGTAGCTACCTAACCAGCTAGTCTTTAAGTTAAGCCCCGACTACCTCTGGGCTGTGAATTTGGCCCACATTTTCTTTCACTTTTCAGATAACTTTTGATAACTTTGATTGATCCATCTTATATCACTTGGCTGTGTGACCATTATAAGAATAACTTGGTCCTTTAATCTTTACAGAAACTGTCTTCCGAGAGACCCAGCTCAGATGGGGAGGGCGTTGTAGAGAATGGAATTACCACGTGTAATGGAAAAGAGCAAGGTGAGTTCTGCTTGTGCCAACGTGTATACACTGCATTTTTTAAAAGTACAGCTGCGTTTATCAAGTCTAATTCTGTGAAAAACGTCCTGGGTGACGTGCTTGTAATGATGCAGTCAGCGGAGACCTTGCTGGTGGGATACAGGAAGCCCTTTGGTCAGCATCGGCCCTGCCGGTCTTCCTTCCCGGTCTGCCAAGCCTCAGCCTGGGTGTCACCTGCTGGTTTTGTATGGGCCCTGCCTATACATTAAAACTTCGGACTCAAGCAGGTTATTTCCTCACTTGGTTTAACACTGGGACTGATTTGCACTTGGAAGCAGCTAGCGTCTTTGAATTTCCAGAGAAAAGAGCTCTGGGTGGTGAGACAGGAAACCCCCATTCCCGTCCCAACCCTGTGTTTGTTTAGACATGATCGGGAACAAGCTTTCCCTCTTGATGGGCCTCAGCTTCCCCATCTTTAAAATGAGGGGGCCAGACTTGCAGATTTCCGAAGTCCGTTTTTGTGAATATCTTCTGAAGATGTCTTTTTGTATTTGCTTATTTATTTACTTTTGAGTCGAAGTCTCACTCCATCGCCCAGGCTCGAGTGTAGTGACACACTCACGGCTGCCCCAGCGTCCACCTGCTGGGCTCTGGCCATCCTTCCGCCTCAGCCTTCCAAGAAGCTGGAAGTACAGATGTGCGCTACCACACCCAGTTTATTTTATTTTATTTTTTTAAATGTATTGTGGAGATGAGGTTCTCACCAAATTGCCTGGACTGGTCTTGAACCCGCGAGCTCAGGGCAATCCACTTCCCTCATCCACCCAAAGTGCTGGGATTACAGGCTGAGCCACCGAGCCTGGCCTATTTTGTTTTTATTTTTTAAAAATTTAAATGATGATAAAACAGATATATGAAATCTAATATACTAACTATGTTTAGGGGGCAGTTCAGAGCATTAAGTACACTTACATTGTTGTACTGTCATCACCACCATCTGTCTCCAGAAGTCTTTTCATCTTGCAGAACTGAAGCTCTATCCCCATTAAATAATGACTCCCCATTTTCTCCGCCCCAGCCCCTGGTACTTGAGGTCTTGTGAATTTGGCTACTCTAGGGACCTCATGTAAGTGAAACATTTGTCCTTTGTGACTGGCTGACTTACTGAGCACATGTCTTCAAGGATCATTCATGTTGTAGCATGTGTCAGAAGCTCCTTCCTTTTTAAGACTGAGTAATTTTCCACTCGTATGGATAGATCATGTTTTCTTTATCTGTTCCTCCATCGATGAGTACCTAGGTGGCTTCCACCCTTTTGCTATTGTGAAAGATGGTTCTATGAACATGGGTCTCTTATTTTTTTAAACTCAAATTTATAGAGGTATGAATTGCAAACAGTGAGACTCATCCCTTTTAGTGTATGGTTCTGCGCATTCTGGCAGACACAGGCATGTCACCGTCACCACAACCAAGACGTGGATCATTTCTCTTCCCTACAGAGTCCTCTGTGCCCCTTTGTGTCTCCCTTGCCTCTGCCCTTTACCAGAACATCGCGGAGGTGGAGTCCTCTAGTTTGTAAGCTTTTGAATCTGACACTTTCGCTCCCATTCCGCACTGCGGATTCATCCTTGTCGTGGCCGTGTCACTAGCTTGTTCTTTTCTGTTGCTGAGTGGTATTCCATCGACTGGATGTGCCACAGTTTATCTGTTCACCGATGGAAGAGCATTTGAGTGTTTCCACTTCGGGGCGATTGTTTACAAATCTCTTCCAAACATTCGATGGCAGGTTTCTGCACAGACATGTGTTTTCCTTTCCTTCGGGTAAATACCTAGGAGTGAGATTGCTTGGTCATGTACATTTTCACCAGCCCTGGTGTTGTTTTTTTGTGGCTGTTCTTTAAGTTTTGGCCACTTTACTGGGTGTGTAGTGGCATATAATTGTGCTTTAAGTTGCATTTCCCTAATGACTAGCAAAGTTGAGCATTTTTTAATATGCTCATTTGCCATCGGCATATCTTCTTTGGTGAAATGTCTGTTCACATCTTTTGCTCATGTTTTTATTGGATTGTTCTTATTACTGAGTTTTGAGAGTTCCTTGTGTATTCTGAATGCAGCTCCTTTATCAGATGTGTTTTGTACATGTCTTCCTGTGGTAGACTTTTGATTTCCTCAGCAGTGTGTGGACTAGGAGGTGTGAATTGGGTAGGGGAGGAAGCTTTCCTTGTGCAAAGCCAAACTGCCACGTGCCTATTGCACCTGTGGCCTGGGCTGCTCAGGTGAATAATCTGACCATCCACGCCCACCTGCTCTTCATTGCTGGAGCGAAACAAGTGTCTCTTATCTCTGTCATGGAGCTACCTTAACCCAGGCAGCAGTCCAGGCCACTGAGAATCTTGGAGCTGAAATAATCTGGACCGTTAAGACACAATGGGCTCGCGCTCAAAGGTCCCGCTCTCTGCTTTTGTTGTGCATGGTTTTCTAAGTCAGTCCTATCTCGTGTAATTTTAGCTCTGTCCATCGGAAGTTGTTCAGTGGAAAGTATTATCTGTGTCTTCCCCAGGGCACACATTATGGGTAATCAAACCAGGAAAGCTATCTTTAAGTTTTGCCCTGAAATCAAATAACATACAATCTTAGTGTCCCTGCTTAGAAGCTGAGGCGACGAGACCGTGGTGTGGCGGGCCTCTTTCCTGGTCGGCTGTTTCTCATCCTGATGTGCCGATATGAAACGAGGCTCTGCTGAATAGTATGTATGTCTGGATGGCATGCAAGGGAATATATCTGTGTTTAAAATTGTCCTGTTTCCTTTTGATGAGAACAGCTTCCCTGCTGTGGAATTAAAAGCTGACCTGGGTTCACGTATTTTCTTGTTGGTCGACGTGGCACTTTGCATGTGGTAGATGCTCAGTAAATAGTTCCTGAAGGAGGGGGATGGTTCCAGTGCATTCTTGACTTCTGTCTCAGCTTTTATTCCCACTGCTCTCTCTTGACCACTTTGCAGTTGAGAGATTTCAGTTAAGCTTGTTTTATCCCAGCCACATTGTGACTCGGGCGCATTTCTCTGCTGACTGCATCGAGAAAATCCTGAACTCACTCAGCATTTCCTAGTGTTAGACTCTCAGGTGAAGAAGAAAACAGTGCAGGCTTCGTGTGGACAGAGCTATAGGCAGCTGCTCTCAGACTCTCGCCTCTTCCTTCAGGAGTGGCGGAATCCCGAGTGTCTGATAAGCCAGCGCTTTGGGTGAGCCGGTGAACCCCCTTCATAGGGCCGCCCGTGTCCAAAATGCGGTCTGAGGTCCCAGCAGTAATCTACATGGCAGCTGTGGCTGTCCTCCACCAGCATCTCAGACCTTCAAGATTTAAATCTTTCGCTAAGGGGTCTGTTGAGAGAGTCGTTAATAGTCTGGTATTAATCATCATGCCCCCCCCAATAAAAGATGACCCGGATTCCCTCTTCCGTAGAACAGGAAGCCGCAGGGTCTGTGACAGCGCGTTCAGGGTTGACCTGGCTCCCATGGTGTGTCACTGACCTGCCCATCTGCGTTGCTCCAGGTTCCCTCTCTGGCTGCAGTGAGTGGGGTGTCCTGAATCTTTTACGTGCTAATTTCTCCCTTTGGTTTGCTAGACAGCACCAAGATGTTCTTGGCGTTTTCTTCTCGTGTTCCTACATTCTTTGACTTCTCCTTCCAAGGGTTACCGGACTCCTGCTTTTGCCAAAAGTTAATCCGAGGGTGTTCAGGGAATGACACTGTTCGTTATTCCCTCCTGTCTTTGGAGCCAGTGTCCAACGAGTGCTTGGCCCCCAGGAGCCAGTCTCAGTTGGGCTAGGAGCGAACGTTCACTAAGATCCCAGCTCGAGGAGACGGTGGGCGGGTGGTCTGTAGGGATTGCTGCGCCTCCGCTAGCCTTTCACAAGGGGCTCTGGGCACTGGCAGTCCTGACAACAAACAGGATCTTCTTAATGAGTCTTCCAGAGTGGGACTGTGGTGAAAGCATCCTCAGGGACTTCAGAAACAGCTGGGTGTGGGCGGGGGGAGGTGTCCACTCTTGCCCCCCCTTTTGGTTTGGCCGAACTGAAATCTAAACGCCACAGCTGTCCCACCGCAGACCTCTCTGTCTGGTGGTCACTGGGGAGGGGCAGTACCCTCAGACTAAGGGACTGAAACAGATTCTCAGCCTTTATTTTAAGAGAGGGCTTGGGCAAGCTGGGAGAGTGGGAAGGGATGTGAGTGGTATTCCTGCATTCTTTGTTGGTAATGTCACTCGAGGCCTTCAGCTGATCTGTTTAAACTAACACAAACTCCGGACTACAGTGTATTAGTCAGTTCGGACCACCATAACAAAATGCCACAGACCGGGTGGCTGAGACAACAGATGTGTGTTTTTCACAGTCCTAGAGGCTGGTAGCCCAAGGCCTGGGTGCCTAGGGCTGCTGTCTGGTGAGGGCTCTCGTCCTGGCTTGCGGACGGCCACCCTCTCACAGGACCTGCACGTGGGCTCCCTTCTGTGATGCACAGTCTCTTCTTAGGAGGACACGAATCCCATTGGATCCGGCCCGAGGGGGAGGGTGCTGGCGGGAGGGCGAGGCAGGAGACAGGACGTGCCTGCTGCTGTTCTGCCTTCGTGGTCTCTCTGGACGCGGCAGAGTGGAAATAGTAAGAGGGCTGCCTCCCGCTCCCCCGGGCAGAGACAGAATGGGGAAGAGATGAGGAAACACATGTGTGAGTGTGTGCGTTTGGAGCAAGGGCTTGAGGAATTGCAGTAGCGGTTTGCCATCTCATGTCCTGGACGCGCGTCCTCTGAAGTTATCCTGTGTGATACGCAGTGCGTGTGCATTGGGTCGTAGGGACAAGACCCTGGAGTCTCGTGGCCTTCGGAAAGGATCTGTGATCTTCAAGAGGTTCTAGACATGCTGGTCATGAGAAGAAAGGGTTCAGGCAGTGGGGTTTAAAAGGCCTTGACACTGGGTCTCTTTGTGCCCCTTTCCAGCACGTTCTACACCACCACGAAACTGTGTCTAAGCCACCTTGCTGGCTCAAGGCCCCATGGGGCCTCTGGATGGGGCCTCTCCCCCCGAGCTCCAGTGCTTGGCATCCAATGGCCCCCAGGAGATTGAGACAGGGAACAGCCCACCTTTCCTGAGAGGTGCTCTCTGGCCCCAGCGTCCTGTCAGTCGCCTCTGGGCATCTTCTTACACCTACATTCAGATTTCTTGCCTGGTCCCTGTCCCTGTCACTCGGTCAGAGGTCAAAAGCCTGCAGCTGTGGAGAGAGGGCGGGAGTTGGGCTTTCTCTGACCACCCAGCCGCTCACCTGTGTGACCCTGATTTGTCCTCGCCGGCATTTCACATCCTTTCCCGTGTGTATATGTGTCTGCATGTGTGAGTGTGCACGTGTGCAATGTATGTGTCCTTAGTCTGCTCTCGAAGAGACGCTTCCTGGGGACAGCCCCCTGTCCTGCCAGAACCCCCACGTCTAGACCCACAGCGACACATAGCAGGTACTCCAGGTGCTCAAGCAGGTACTCCAGGTGCTCAGTAAGTAAAGTTGAGGGAAGGGAGAAAAGGGTTGTGGCTTGTGCTCTGTTTGTGTTTTTTTCAACTGACATCGCCAATTAAACCTGCTTTTTTGTGGCTGTTACTCTTGGCAGTAAAGAGGAAGAAAAGTTCCAAGTCCGAGGCCAAGGGAACCGTGTCGAAAGTCACTGGGAAAAAAATCACCAAGATCATCGGCCTGGGGAAGAAGAAGCCGTCCACAGACGAGCAGACCTCGTCTGCTGAGGAGGATGTCCCCACCTGTGGTAAGCGGACATTTGCCAGCGAGAGCCGTGTGTGCCTAAGTGTGGCGTTATTCTCTCCCGGCAGGGCGTTGCTGTCGAGATTTGCTAATTCGAGCTCCTGTGCGTTGGACTTGTGAGCATTTCAATTGCGGGAAGTATATTAAACTTTCACATTTTCACCTCTTATTAATAGAAGACTTTGCAGGAGTTTGGGATAATCTCTGAGTTTCTTTTGAGATTAAATATTTTTTTTTCTCTTCCATCCTGTGGGGTTCTCCCAAGTTCCCCGGAAGTATTTGGAACGGACACATAGGCACATGGTGTTGGGAACAAAGGCAGGAGTACAAAGTAGGGGAGACCCTCCGTGGAACGAAGATCAGTTTTCAGTTCCAACCGTGAGCTTGTCTCTCATGTTGCATTTCTAACACTCAAGTGTCAGATCCACTCTAACTGACTGACCGTCTCCCCGATCGGTCTTTTCTCCGATAATTGTAGAGCAGCTGTGGGCTTATCAGGGACTGCGTCAATAAGCGCACGGCAGGCAAGGATGACCCGGACTGCTCTGCCCTCCCACGGCATCCAGTCTAGTAGCAAAAGGTAAGTACAGAGCAAGGAGTCGCAGAAAGCACATGCTGGCTGGCCCTGACCCTGGTGGGGACATGCACAGTGTGTGTGACAGGAGCCAGGCAGGTTCGGGCACACCACCGGCAGCCTCTGAAGACACGGGTGAGGGTTTATGTGTGTGATATTTTCCAGGCAGCCAAGGTTAGAAGCACGCTGCAGCTCTCTGAGAAGGAAACTCCATAAGCTGAAAGGTGGATATTTGTGCTTTAAAGAAGTTCAGGATGGGCTGTAGTGCTCCTTGTGTCCCAGGACCCTCAGCCTCCCACGGCGTAAACCCGTGGTTCCTTTCATTTGTGTAGTTGTTCTGTCTACCTCTCTTCCCTGACAGTGCCTCCACTGGGTCCATGAATTGGGTGTTATTTCGGGATACCAAAAGTAAAGTCGCTTAGTTCCTGCCCACTTGGGCTGTGACAGAAAGATCGGTTCATTCAGCTATGCTGTGTCCCGGTGGTGTGAGCTCATGCTGTTAAGATAATAGGGAGGATCCACTGTGGGGGTGGGAGGCGGATGGGCTGCCAGGACTCTCCACTGGGCAGGGGAGGAGCTGGAGGATCCAGGATGTGTGCTCTATCTTGAAGCGACTTCTGAAGGCCCCTCCGGTCTCTGCAGCGGGATTCCAGGGGATGGCGCAGTGTCGATTTCTAGTGGTCTCAGTGAAGTCGTCTGGGCAGAAAATGACGCAGCCTGTGGGGTTGAAGCCGTCCTCGAGGAGGGCGCCCGTCCACGTGGCTGCCTACGTACAGTCAGGAGGAACAGCTGACCTCACCCATGGAGACTGCCGGCCCAGGAGCCTGGTGCAGTCTGAGCCCCTGACCTTCGGCCAGTGACAGTAAGGTCACAGGCCAGCTGACACTGACGTTTTTTCCACTGCCCCACGTTCCCTCCCCACACACGGGGAGACAGCAGAGAGAGCGGCCACCTTGCTGGACCTGAACCGGGTGCAGCCACGTCGGGGCATGGAAGGGAACATGACCATGTGGCTGCCTGCATGCTGGGCCCTGCTGGCCTCTGCCTTGCCTGGAGCACCTGCTGAGGTGGGCCTGTCCCCTCCTGGCATCAGCCTCGAGACGCCACGGGCCTCAGGGATTGAAGGCGGAAGGAAGAAATCATTCAGCACAGCAGGAGGTGCTCTTTCAGCATCGTTTTTGTTTTTTTAAACCACTCTAGGTCAGAGAAGAAATAGAAATTCTTCCATAAGAAACAATCCAGCGTTATTAGGAAAGGCCGTTTAGAGACTGTGGTCCAAACCCTCCCATTTGCAAAGAAGGGTGCGGAAGCTCAGGAAGGCTGACTTGTTCCGAGCCGTATAGCCAGCAGGCACAGAGCTAGCAGACCAGCTCTGTGGGTGCCCTCTTGGACGCGCCTGCTGCCCCTTGTTCTCTGAAAGACCCTCCCACCTCTGTGACTCCTAATAGACAGCTTCGCTTGCGTTGGTGATTGGACATGGCAGGTCAGCATGAGGCCGGGGACTTTTTCGGAGGCACCGTGGATCACCAAGAGTGGGAACCCTGTGTCTACACATTGAACGAGGCACATGAATGCCACATGCGGGTTCTGCCAGACTGCTTTGTGGACAACTTTTGCTTCTATGAAGAGAACAGCCTCTGCCCACAAGATTTTAAAACCGCCCTGTAGTTGTTTGTGGGAGGAAAGATAATGAAACAAGGACCATGTTCAGCTCTTTTTGTACAGCTGCAAAGGTTCAGGCAGAAAAAAGTAGCTGGAGGAAGTCCCAAGAGGCCGAGCCTGCCAAACTGAGTCTCTGCAGCTGCTGCCTGTGCTCCAGGGAGACGAGGTGCTGGGCTGGAGGACCGGAAATGCAGCGCCACGGAGCAGATGCAACAGAGCTCTCAGGAGCGGAGTTCAAATCTCAGCTCCCCTCCACGGGGCGGCCGCGCCAGCTGGGCCCCAGATGGACTTGCTGCCAGGGCCTTCCTCATGGGGCAGCAGAGGCGAGGCTCTCGGCAGGGGCTTTCCTGGCTTTGGGAGGGGGTGGTTGGGATCAGGCCACTCCATCCCACCCTGCAGTGCTGGTTGTCATTGCTCAGTGTTTCTGCTTCAGGTGAGGAGTGTTGAGTGATGGGTTTAGCGCTGGACAGGCCAGCTGGACATGCAGCCACATGGTGTGACCTCGGGGAGGCTGAGGCAGGAGGCTGGCCTGGGCCCAGGTGGCCGAGGCTGCGGCAGCCATGATTGTGCCACCGCTCTCCAGCCTGGGCAACAGAGTGAGATCCTGACTCAAAGAAAAGAGAGTGATAATGTGATGTGAGGCATGCACAGAGTCCCCGAACCAGCAAGCGTCTCCCGTGTGCCCTTCTCCTGTGCCTGCAAGTCTTGGAATTGTTAGGAGTGAAGCAGGTGTTCTCAGGAAGTGCACACCACTCCTCTCCTCGCCTCTCTTCTCCAGCCCTCTTTCCACCTGTTGTCTTGCCTCTTGACTGACCCACCTTGTCCTACCTGTTTCCCCTCCAGGCCACCAGAGGACGTTTTTGAAACTTTGGGCTGATTGTGTCACTCCTTGCCGAAAAGACTAAAATGTCCCCTCTGTGGCCTAGTTCAGGGCAGTGGTGACTTCTCCTCCTAGGGTCTCACTCTGTCGCCCAGGCTGGAGTACAGTGGTGCAATCTTGTCTCGCTACATCCTTGTACTTCTGGGCTCAAGAGATCCTCCCGCCTCAGCCTCCTGAGTAACAGGGACTACAGGTGTGTGTCACCATGTCTGGCTATTTTTTAAATTTCTGAAGCAAAGGGGTCTTATGATGCTGCTCAGGCTGGTCTTGAACTCTTGGCCTCAAGCAGTCCTCCTGCCTTGGCCTCCCAGGGTGCTGGGATTACAGATGTGAGCCACTGTACTTGACCCTAACATTTTTTTTTTTAAACCAAACACACCAGACCTATCCAAGGCAAAATAAGCTCAACGTCAGACGAGTGGACAATGAGAAATAAAGAAGTTGAGAGGAAGGAACAGTGTCAAGGTGTGCACATCAGAGGCCTTTTGAGTCCGAAGGGCTCACCGGTAACCCCGGGACCCTGCAGCTGTCATGTTCTGTGACATTATGACGCGTCCATCAGTAGGGTGTTCAGCAGACCTGTAGGAAAGTTACCTCCTCCCACTTTATACCATCATCTGCCTCCAGTCAGGTGACATTTGATCAAAAGGCAGCAAAGCTTTCTCAGTCTAAGGCCACCACATCAGGGTGTTCACATGCGAATTCTTCAGCCCCTTGCAGGGGACGCATTGCAAAGGGGGAAGGAGGCATTTGGTGCTGGCAGGGCAGTGGTCCGCCGCTGGGGGTACCTGGCCCTGGGGTCTCTCCATACACTTCTTGGATGCCCTCGCAGGCCCTCTGCTCTCGGGGGCTGCCAAGGAACATTTGGTGAGCCAGAATGGATGATCATTTTGGGGTAAGACACCTTGCGAGCGCTGAACGTCTTGGCGCATGTGACACAGCACAGTGGCTTCCTGGGCAGACAGGCCGTTTCCCTTCCGGAGGAGAATGGATGCAGGGAGACTTGGCCCTGCCTGCCCTGTGCAGCTGCCTGCCTGCCATAGCCACCTGGCCGTGTGGGCAGAGGCGCCAGGATGCAAGCAGCTGAGGGTGGGAGGGCCTGTCTGTCCCCTCCTCTGTGTCTTTGTTTAATCTCAGGTCTATAAAGCTAATTTGGTGGTTCTAATGAAACCTCATAAACTTCTCTCTTGCTTTAGAATTTGGACCCGGAATAAGCTTAGAGTGTTAAACCGAAGTTCCCAGATCTTTCAGATACAGCAACACCCTACCGGAACAGAAGCAGGAGTCAAAAATAAAAGCGAATGCGCATGGCCTGCCTTGTCTGGCAGTTGGTGGCGACGCTTTGGTGCCACCTGGTGGTGGGTGCTGTCAGTGTTCTTGGGGATGGTCTGGGGTCCCCATCAGCGCTGATCTCATCCACCAGTCTAGCGTGTTGAGTCTGGAGAGTATTGGGGAGCCCCTTCTGACTCTAGGTTCCTTAGGCAAGGTTTTCCGCCCCTTCCCTGCCCGGCCTCTCAGTGTCCCCCACCCAGAAAGTGGGAAGTTTGGCCTCTCCTTTTTGAGACGTAGGGGCCCGTGGTTGGCCCAGGGGAGGCCAGCTGTCAAGCATGGACCTGGGCTGTGGGACTTCTGCTGGTGTCGGCAAGTCTGGTTGACTTTTTTCTTATTTCCTTCTTTGAAAGGCGTCGCATTGTGGTAATTTCACAGGAAGTCATGCTCTCAATAAAAAGTGAATCTGTCCATTACAGGCATCCCTTTCACGGCAGAAATGTCCAGAAACTCATAGCACCTGGTGCGTTGGGCCCGACTCTGTCAGGAGAGTCCATTCCCCTCTTCAGGAGGTGGTTCACCCCCGGTGGGTGGGCACACTTTGGAACTACCGTCCCCTGAGCAGGGGTCGTGCCGGGGGAAGACCGCACCCGTACAGTGAACCCCGAAACCAGAAGGCCACGTGGCGCTCAGAAGGCACGGTCGCCATCACTGAGAAGACAGAGGTGCCCTTGGGCGCTCTGCAGACTGCCGGCTCCCCCACCAACACTCCGGCCTCTGCTTCCACACCCAGGCCAGGCTTATGCGGCTTGTGTCTGAGGTCCCGCCATCAAGGTTGCTGGGACCTCAAGTCTCCTTTTCTTCCACTCATTCTCCAGGCCCAGAAGAGGGGCGCCTTGACCCTGGCTGCCTGCGCCCGAGCCAGTGCCACTCCCTCTGGCCACTCTCTGTGGAACGTCTGACACGCCCCGTGGCTTGCCGCTCCTACTTCTGAGCCGTTTTGGGGTGTATTCACCTGGCGCCCAAGTAGATTCTGTTACTCGAGAGTGGTTGCCTTCCATTTCTTTTTGGGTGCACATTTATCAGCTTATGCTCAGAAGGTACCGAGGACTGATCCAGGTGGCTGTCTTGTATAAAAGTCCAGAAAGCGGGCTCTCCGATGGCTGATCTCTGACTGAGGGTTTCAGAATCTTAGAGGGCAAGCAGTTCTGACAGTCATGACTCAGGTGTTCCAATGTCCCGGTTGGCTCTGTGTCTCGAAGTAGAGCTTCATATTTTCTTTGTAAAGAACAAGCGTCTCACCACGGTGTCACTTACAGAGAGCAGGAGCATCTTAGCGTGGGACCTGCAGTTAAACTTACAGCACCAGCTCTCTATCTGGCGTCACCACCTTCCGGAGGGCCGCAGGTCTGACTTGGCCGCGTGACCTCAGACGGGTGCCGTGCACACCCGGGGTGAGCGTCGTCCTCCCCGACGTGAGCCGTCCGAGGTGCCCTCCGCTTCTGACTCCGGAGCCCTTTCTCCCCCCTCAGCTCCCTACGTCACGTGTGAGAGCCAAGGCACTCTGGCTGGGTTTCGCCTGTTCTCTGCACACGAGAGGGCGGCCAAGTCACAGGCGGTGTGCTGCGGGTCCTCCGCTGTCTCTGTGACCTCACTAGTCGAGCGACTCACTCCCCAGGTGGAAGCTCTGGTCCCAAGAGAAGCAGTGCGTGCCCTTTGGTGGAGTGTGTGCTGGGAGAAATGTCACACTCAGCGCATTGAAAACATCCTCTTTAAGCCAGGCTCGGTGGCTCAGCCTGTAATCCCACGCTTTGGGAGGCTGAGGTGAGTGGATTGCCTGAGCCTGTGGGTTCGAACCCGCCTGGGAAACTTGGCGAGACCTCATCTCTACAAAAAATAGCCGGGTGTGGTAGCGCACGCCTGTAGTTCCAGCTATTTGGAAGGCTGAGGCGGAAGGATCGCCGGAGCCCAGCAGGTTGAGGCTGCGGTGGCCGGGAGTGGCTACTGTACTCCAGTCTGGGGGACGGAGTGAGACTCAAAAAGAAAAGAAAAGAAAACGTCCTCTTTATAAATGTGTACCTGGTGAATCCTTTGAGCAAACCTTTGTGAGTCATACGGGAAGCATCGTTCTGGGTCTTGCATTTTTGTCTTTATAGCCTTATCTGTAGCTGACAAGGAATGGAAGAGTTAGATGTAAAAGAAGGAGAAAGCGTCCTCCAAGGCATTTTTATTCATTATTTTCTAAGAGGGGAGGTCTCTCTGTGTGGCGCAAGCCGGTCTCAAACTCCTGACCTCCTGTGATCCTCCTTCCTGGACCATCAAGTGGCTGGGATTATGGGTGTGAGCCACGATGCCTGACTGGACAGGCAGTTTAAAAAATCAGCATGGGGAAGAGTGTATTTTTGCTTCTTAACATTTCTGAGCGGCGGGGGGGGGGCTGTGCGCACTCACACAGGTACGAAGCGAACGTGCAGCTGAGTGACTTCCCCAGGACCCCGTTGTGTTCTCTTGGCCTGCTGTTCCGCACCTTTTATGCCGTCTAACTCTGACTCTTCAGCAAGGCGGGCAGTAATGCGCTGGCCTTTGGGCGTGGGGGGACGATTCGGCTGCCCGGCGGTATCTGCTTGTCATGCCTTGTTATTTCTAGAAAAATGTGTTCTGTGTGTGACGACTGAAAATTGTCCACTTCCCAGATTTGAGGAGATTTCCTTTTTAGACGCGAGGAGAATGGTCCTTGCCATGATTCCATCACACAGGTCGATCCACCTGTCTGTGCTGTGCAGACGGCATCGTGCCATTCCAGAGCTACAGACGGCACAATCTCGTGTCCGTCCAGACTCCAGCGCCTAGGGGTCCTGGGGCAGACCTCGTAAGTCCGACACGTCAGGGACAGGGAGGCTGCAGGGTGCGTCTTTGGCCTCTTGGGCGGAACTTCATGCCAAGGCCCGCCCCTTCCTTCGTGAGCACTTCCAGCGCTGGGGAACTTACCGCCTCCCAAGGCCTCCCGTTTCTTGGAAAGCGTTTCTTTTTAGAGCTTTCCCCCCTTGTGTCAAGCCAAAACCTGCCTTACCGTAACTTTTGCCCGGGCGTCATCTGCAGCCACTGAAGATAAACCTAGCTCTCGCCTCCAGTTATTGAGGGCAGCTATCATGCCCCGTTGCTTCTGGCCATCCAAAGCCCCACGGGCTAGCGACTTTTCCTGTGTTCCAGGTGAATTCTGGAGGCTCACCCAGACATTCAACATCTGGTAGCCAGTTTTGAGCACATGCTTCGTTGGGGCCTTCTGGACAGGTCGGGGCGTGTTGCAAGAAGCCCCCAGGACTTGCGATGCCCAGGGTCTCCTCTTGTTGGCGTGAACTTGCATTGGCGACTTCACTTGCCTTGCATGGCCGCCTTCCCCGGGCTTCCTCCGTGGGCCCCGGGGCGCCTGCCGTGGCTCGTCCCAGGAGGCTAAGGGTGTGGGCTTGTGTCCCCGCAGGTTACCTGAACGTGCTGTCCAACAGCCGCTGGCGGGAGCGCTGGTGCCGCGTGAAGGACAACAAGCTCGTGTTCCACAAGGACAGGAGCGACCTGAAGACGCACATCGTGTCCATTCCCCTGCGGGGCTGCGAGGTGATCCCGGGCTTGGACTCCAAGCACCCCCTGACCTTCCGCCTGCTGCGCAATGGCCAGGAGGTGGCCGTGTTGGAGGTATGGCGCTTCCCAGGTTCGGCCCGATGGAGGGGCGAGGCTTCCTGGGGCCGCCGCGTTGGGGTGGTCGCCGTGCTGGAGGCACGGTGCTTCCCGGGTCGTGGTGTGGGAGGCACTTCCTTCCCAGGGTCGTGGGTGGGAATCCTGGGCCTTCCTGGGGTGGCTCCACGACTCTGCCGGGGGCCCAGGGAGGCCACCCTGCC